TGCAGGCTCTGTACAAGCAGAGGAGGAGCAGCAGTAGCTCTCAAACAGCTCCTGTAGCCCAGGACTTCCAGGTTCAGGAGCTGTGGTGTCTGGTCACTTGGGCATTTGGAGCAGGATGGGGAATGCTTTATGCTGCCAGTGGCCACAGTTAATTTTAAGTGCTGCTCCCTCTCCGCCCCCCACCTTGTTTTTCCGCTCTCTGAAAGATTAACTCTAAAAGTGGAAGAGTTATATTGGGACTTTCAGGCATACCTAATTGAGAATTGTAGATTTAAAATGTACTTTAGATTTGAATTTAACCATAAATTAAATATGGTTATACATACATTGCTTTTTACATGTGGTAATTTGTTATCACAGAGCAAAAAGGTTAGGTGTCAAGCACGTGGTGTTATAAAGAGGGATGTCAAGTGGTTATTGATTACCAAAATTACTGTCTTAATATGCCCTTTTCCAGGTAATTCTTCCATCAAATCTCATTGACATATATAGAATCCTTTCAAGAATTTTTCTGAACCCATATAAGTATTGTACTGCCTGTGTTTCAGGACTAACTTTCAGGTTTATTTTAAAAACTACCTAGAATAAATAGTTTTGAGTTTTTTAATGCCCTCTGCAGAAGTAGGTCTTTCCAAGGAAGGCAGAGCTAAGGATGTCTGGACAGGTTTTCACATCTGATGTAAATTTCCATATTTTGGTGAGCGTTGGGCTCTTGAGGTCCTGTTCTTGTCAAGAGCAGCAAGCCCCAAGGTCAGATTGTAGTTGTCGTGTCCTGCCAGACTTTCAGTCTTACTCTTCTTTCAAAACTGGGCCAGCTGGGAAAATACAGGTTTGCCATTTTCAGCAAACAGTTGGTTTTGAATAAAGTATCAGAAAGCAGTCAGCTCTGTGGCAGTGTTTTCAAGAAAGCATGCTGTCCCAGATACATCTTTGTGACAGTGCATAGCCATGCTTGCTTACTCTCTGGAAAGGAAAACTTTTGAACAGCCTGATCAGTGTAAAAGTGATCTCTGAAACTGTTAACATGACTAATGTGCGCACAGCGTGACTAAAACTCTGGTTTTAAAGTGCTGTTATTTCCTTTCCAGGTTGCACGACTTATGGAAATGGGGTTTTCCAGGGGAGATGCTCTAGAAGCTCTGAGGGCTTCAAATAATGACTTAAATGTAGCCACTAATTTTCTACTGCAGCACTGATGGTTTTCTGCGTGGAGGGACTTCACTTGATGGGTTTGTACACGTCTGAAAGAGGATCAAAGCCACCTGCTGGACAGACTCACGAAGGTCGTCTCCGCAAGAGCGTCAGAAAAGAGAAAACTGCCTCCTCGTGACTGGTGATTCAAAGTGATGTTAACGAATGACGTGAACTGTTCCCAAGCCTTCAGATCACTTGGTGGTTTCTAGTCTGGTTATCCTTTTCAAAGCAACTTTAGTTTCTACTTATTACTGGATATCACCTAAATTTATTTTTAAAATAAAGTAGATTTTTTTTTTCTTGTAAATCCTTGTTAGACATGTTATCTGACTTAATAACTAGGAAAAGAAGCTCCAACAACCACAACAACAAGATTTACATATCAAGAAAAATCATACTTTTTTCATCTTCTAATTTCTGTAGCTTACATGTTATTTTACAGTACTTGATTTTTGATTACAGTAATAAGAGGCTTGAAGCTCACTTCATTTTCAACTCAGTAAAGGGTTATGGGACTACTATGTCATTCTTTGGAAAGTTTTATTAATGCCTGTAATATTTTATTTCTTGAATTCTTTTTTAAATAAAAGTTGTCGTTCAGCACATAATACACAGATAGGATGAGAGAAAATTCATGTGCATACTGCAAGCTATGGTAAGTGACCACTGTAAATTTAAATTTTTACAAACTGAGTGAATTGCTATTCAGATACAGATCATGAAGATACTCCCTGGAAGCAATAAAGGTGCATGATACATTAAGATCAGAACTGAAATTAATTGAATGATTTCCATGTCTAATTCAGACAGACTTCAGTAACGATGGATGTATCTCAGTGTCCTATGTGCTGGTTTCATTTTTTGAGCTGGCTACATACTGTCTTAAAACAAAAAAAAATTATAAAAAGCTAACTTTTCTATATATAGTTCTAGTTTTCTACTGTCAAAGATGTGGATGACCCTGCATTTGCTGAATCCTCACCATCTGAAGCCACTTACTGTTGATCACAGACTGGACTATTAACCTTAAGGATGATTCAGGCTAACACAGGAGGTAACAGGCCAGTAATGCCAAGGTAGTACCATATTGGTTTTGAATTTGTGATCAATAAATAAGTTTGCTTGGGTTGACTCTCAGAAGTGCTCAGTATTAGCACCTTAGGAGTTTCAGGAGGTGGGGTGGAGGAAGGTGAACATCTCTGTGAAACCAAGCTGAAGTAATACAAGATTCCGAACTGCGACTCCATTAAACCAATCTACGTGTGTATCTCAAGCATTTAATGTACTTTTATGTATGTACTTGTGTTTGTATATTGTGTGTATATGTGTCTATTTATATACACACGGGCATATTTAATACATACATACATTTAGAATAAGAGATAAGTCATCAGAACATAACAAAGGCAATAGCAGGTGCAAAGGGGAGGAGGTGAAACAATACAGGAGAGAGAAGGATGTTTTGGAAGTCCAGATGAACACGTGTGTACTGAAGTGCAGATGAGCAACCTGGTCTAGCAGAAGGTGTCCCTGCCCATGGGAGGTTGGAACTAGATTGTCTTTAAGGTCCCTTCCAACCCAAACCATTCCGTGATTCTGTGATCTCCGCAGTCGCACTTGGCCTGGAAAATACACCAGGAAATTACAGGACAAGACTTAGGGAGAGAGAGATACACCTTTCTTTTTCTTTTTTAATTGACTAATACAACTGAAAAAAAGTCCTTCAGGCATACAAGTTCTTATCCACAAGTGACATCAAATTTGTGCAGCTTTTGGCACATGACATAATTTTTAATACAGTCAGTGTCGTGTATGTATTTTTTAGTATTTTCCAGTGGGTGAAACAAGGGGTTTTTGGAATGACTGTGTGTTTTCCTGGGCTTTGATCAACTTCCTTCAGGGTTTGGCTTGCTGCTATGATCACATTATTTAGGCAGGGTCTGCTTTTTAATGGAAAGGTTTTGTTTCTGTGAAGCTGAGTGGCTTTGTGTGTAGGATAGGGACATTTCTGTACCCAGAGAACTCTGGAAACCTGCTGTCTTACAAAGCAAAGGGCAAATGTAAGAAAAAAAAAACCCTACAATAATTTGCAAACTAGTTAAATGTTTTGAAACAAGTACAGGTTTTAATTTTGAAACATACGGATTCTTCTTTCACAAATATTTTATCAAAAGTAGCAATAAAGACTAGTGAATTGCTTCAGAAGTCAAATGTTGCCTGTAGGAAATAAAGGTCTGCCTCGCCCAGGGTAAATTAAATATGACCTGTGCCCTTTCAGTCATTACCCTGCTCTAGGGACAAGCACAAAGAGCATTTATCCCTTGGGAATTTAAAATGTAGTGAGTGGCACCTGGGACATGTCAGTGGATATTCTCCAAGTCTAAATCCTTTCTTAACTATTATCTGTGCAAGTGGTATCCAGATGTCACAGTTGTGTGTAAAACCCCACTTTGCTGGGCATTTTGCAAAACATGGTCAAAGGTAAGGGGTAAAATTTAGGTCTTGATGATGTCAGTTGAAAAATTCCCTTGACATCTGCAAGAATGGTTTGTGTTCAAAATGCTTGCAGGATTGTGATATCCAATTTAAAAAAAAAAAAAAGTGGTGAAAGGAGTGGTCTTGGATGCCGTTGAACACAGTTCTTGTTTTGTGCAAGAACCACAGAAGAAAGATTCACACGTTAGAGCTGGAAAACAACTGTTTCCACTTGATGGTGAAACTTTTGTGGACCGTTTCTGGGAATGCGAGAAGCATGTTCTTCACAGCCTACGCAGTGTTTGTCCAATATGGTTTTGAGTATCTGATCACACAGTTTCTGTTTTATGTGTGACACAATGATATTTTTTAGGCAGTGAGAGAATGCAGAATACTTTTCTACAGAGAGGGAAATTCCCACTGGTTTTAGTAAAGCCAAGATTTGGTATTTTGAAATAAAAGTAGTTGCTGCTGTTAAAATTTCTCTATTAGGCTGGGAATGTTGTCTTTTGAGACAACATTGGAGTCATTTCTTGGGGACTTTCCTAGACAGTTATGTGACACTTTGAAATACACCCACAGTGAGGTCTGTGTTTGTGGAAATCTCCCTGGTAAGTGTCAGGTTCTCAAGCCTTAACTTTTTTGCTAAGATGCAGAACGGTTGGCCTCCATACCTACCAAAATCATTTTCCTCTCCCAAAACAAGTGTTAAAGGTTGCCTGCTACTTAGTGAGCACATGGACTGTGGCCGCCCATTCACGTGCAGCCCACACTGTCTCCCGCTTGTTGGTGCCTTTGTGAACATGTGATGGAGAAAAGGTCTTGTTATCTTTGTCTGAAACAGAAGAACAAGCAAGCAAAACATATTGCAAGGTACTGGGCAAAGGGCAACATTTTTGGCTCTCCTGTTGTTGTATGTATATGTATATGCATATATATGTGTGTATGCATAAGTATATATACAGAGAGTGAGTGAGAATATTTATGTATTGGTTTGATGAATTTAACTGGAGCTAAGAATTTGGTGAAGAAAATTAAAAGTCTGTATTCAAAGACTCGCATCTCTCAAACACGTGTGTATTTGGAGTATATATGCAGTTGCAAAGGCACCCAAATTTGAAAACACTCCGAACTACAAGTCTTATGTTGTAGGGGAACTGCATTTGTTTGAGGATAAATAAATGCACAGTGTTCACCTGAACTAGTAGTTTTTTGATACATAAGTGCAATTAATTTCTTGTGTGTGTTCTTCCACAAGAAAAACTTAAATGAGATTAGCTTTCTTTAACTGGGTAGCCATAGTGATAAGTATTTTATGTAAACGAGTATAAATACTCTTTTATTAGGAGAGTCACATGAACACACAAAGACCATATCTGTTTATATATATGCACTCATGTATGCATATTTTTATATATATATGCATATTTTTAATATATATGTATGCACTTACTTAAAACATACTGGGTTTGGTTAATTTTTAGTAGGATTACATTCCTCCTGTTTCCATATTTAAAGGGATGCTTTGACCATAGAAAGTGCACTCTTAATTGAAACTCAAAGAGGGTATGTGCTACCAAGAGTTTTCAGTCCAAATATAAGACAAGAAACAGATGGTGGGAATGGAGGAATGGTAAGACCTGATGAATGGGTGCAACTGGTGATAATCTCAACAAATTGGTAGTTCAGCTGTTGTAATTTGATTTTTTTCCAAAGGAGACTTTTAAGGAGAAACAAGAAATTAGCTGGGCTCACACATGTTTGTAGGGGATTGTTTCTAAACCTGAATGGTAGCACTGGAGAATGCAGGAATACACATACTTTAAAAATGGGTGAAAAATTCTGGGATTATGTCTGAACTGCAAGCAGGATTTGGCCTTTGACTGGAGATAAGTAGGGACCATAAATGTCATTTCAGAGTAGCAAAGCAGAGGATTTGAGGTAGATGAGGGAGGTGGAACTGAGCAAAACCAGAGAGTTCAGAGAAAAGGAGCAAAGCAAAAGATAGGCTGTGGAGGACAGAGAAAAGACCTGGTGTGAGAAGGGGGTCAGGCTGTCACACTGCACTTAGTTCAGTTTTGAAAGAATTCACAGAGATTCTGTGTGCAAAATGCAAATACACAATATCGTGGCTAATCTTGTATCAAAATTCCACTCTTCTTTTTTCAGCGGTGTCCAATAGGGGAATCCTTCCATTTTATTGGGTTGGTTTTGCATGAGATGGTACATGTAGCAAGAGAGAAAACAGTGTCATCCCAGCAACGTGGCAGCAAAGCAAACCCTGGAGTCACCACAGCGTGTGAGAAAGCAGGTGGACATTCCTGGTTTTCAAAGCACAGTTAGTCCTGCCAACCTGACTCTTCTCCTGGCACCCCCTCCCAACTGTGGAGAGCTGCTCCAGAAAGGACACAGCTCCTCGCAGGTCCCCCTGCTTTTCCCTCCAAAGGTTATTTGTAAATCTCTGCATGCCACCTTCCCAAGACAAGTGTCCTGCGTAAAGGAGGTGGATCAAGAGCTTGTGCTGGCCCCTCGCCCCTTCTGGAGGTGGGAGAGGAACACATGCAGCTCCTGAGAAGAAAACAGTTGCCTACATCACCTGGCCCAAACAATCACACCAGGGCTTGTTACTTGGCTGAGAAGCTTTTATTTTAAGTAGAAATGTCCATTTTTACGTGACAATATTTACTGGCTTACAAAGCTGGATGTCACGACATGTAATAGGTTCAATTCAGGACAATTTAAAGCACAGACTGAAGCGGCGTTTTGTAAGGCACTGGGAGTTTACTGACAGGTAACGCGTAGGTGCAACCAGGAGCTGTGATCCCCCAACGCTCTCCTGAAAATTCATGCTTTTAGCTGAATTCCCACCACCAAGGGAAAAAGCAGTGCTGTTTGGGCTCCATGTGCTTATTTGCCACCAAGATACAGCCTGTCAGACAGGCAGGTCCTCTGCAGAGATCCTGCCTACTTTCTGCACTCTGTTCGATTGCATGAGCTAATCACCCTTTTGCAGAAGTTCAGGAGAAACCTGCAATACACCGCGTTAGAGAGGTTTGGCTCATACGGGCTTTTGAGCTACAAGGGTCACAGCGTAAGAAAAATCTCAGTTTCCACCACGTACCTATAGAAGCTGTACAACTATACGCAGGTACGACAGTGCTGTGTGACCGCAAAAAGCGTACTCGCTGCTTTTCGATAAATATGCAGTTTTCTTCTCTTGGATGA